AAAAAACAAAACTGTTTGCAAGGTCATGTTATCTGTGAAAGATTTAAAGGAATCAGTGGAGTCCTGAGACTCTACGTGGTGGAATGTGTGTATTTTAGGATGAAGTTGAACACTTTGGGTCATGGCCTGGGGTTAAACAGACCAAACAGCAGGCGCCCAGGGAGTGGCGAGAGGGCCCTGCGAGTGCTGGAATTTCAGGCACTTCCCACCGCTGGGTGCACGGGCAGAGGCGAGCCTGCCCCCTGCAGGAGCCGAGTGGTACTGCTGGGCCGTGTCACTGGGAAGGGAAGCAGGGCCTGCCCAGTTTTACCTAGAGGCTGTCCTTCTGCCTTCATCAGAATCCAGTCTGTCTTCCAACTGGGTACACACCCCTGAGCTCGCGGGAAGACTTAGGAAGTGCACCCTGGCTAGCTGGCTTCACAGCATCAACTTCGAGGTACTCTCCTTCCTAAAACTGCCTTGGAAGGTTCCTTGGCCCAGGCTGGAAGCCATCCCTCCTTGGCCATTTCCCCTCCTAAATGCCCTCTTGCCAACTTTACAAAAGACAAACACACCCTTTATCACATCCTCAGTCTTGTTATGATGTATTATTCCAGGGTGCACGAGAGCGTACCTAATTTAAAACATTATTGCAAGGGTACATGTGCAGAAATGCTGGAAGACTGCTAATCAGGCTAATCTTCCTCGAAGAGTCTAAATAGCTGCTATCCCAGAGAAGTGTAATGGAAGTCACACGTGCGGACAACATTTGTAATTATACATTTTCTAGTGGCTGCATCAAAAAAAGTGCAAGGAAATGGGTGGATTTTCAGAATACGTTTGTATTTAATTTGATACATCCCACATATTATCATTTCAACATGTAGTCATTACAAAAACTATTCGTGAGATATTTTTTATTCTTTTTTTGATACTAAGTCTTTGACATTTGGGATCTACTTTGCACTCACAGCGTATCTCAGTTCAGACTTGCTCCATCTCAGATATTCAACAGCCACATGCGACACACACTGGATGGTACAGTTTTGAGTGACCAAGTGTGTAATCTTTAAGCTGATAGTAGGTGGGAGGCAAGGAGCATTTAGAGTGGTCCGTGTTTGAATTACAAAAAAATCATATAACTGAGATCGATAGACATTGCTTAAGAGCACGGACTTTGGAGCCAGAATGAATCCGAGCCTCACTGCTTATCAGCCGGTGACCTTGGACAAGTTACTTAACCTCTCTTTGCATTGGCTTCCACTTTCATAAAATAAGGATAATAATAGTACCTTCTTCCTATGATTGCCATGAGGATTAAAAAACTATAGTATGGGAAGCACCTGGAGGAGTGTCTGGCACCTGGTAAGTACTATTTAAGTTTTGCTATTATTATTACTACTAGTAGTACTATTTCTAGTTAAACCCACCAGGGTAGCTGTGGTGTGGTGGCAGAAACTCTAGGCTTCTTTGTCAGAAGACTTGGGCTCTCCTGCTCTTGATCACTTTGTGTTCTGACCTTTCTAAGCCTCAGCTTTGAGGTCGGGTGTGAGTGAGTCTGTATCTCCTTCCTGTCAGGACACCACACTGGATGAACACATAATAAAGCATATTTCATAGCTACCATTTCTGAATCTTCTATCTCCCGGCGTAGTGTATATGTATTATCTCATTTCACCCTTCAATTAATGCTCTGAGGAAGGTGTTTTATCCCCATGGCACGCTTGAGGAAATCAAGGCTTGGGTAACTAGCTCCAGGTTGCATTGTTGGGGCACAGAGCTGGAATTTGAATGCCAGAGGATCGGACTCTGAAGCCCATGGCCTTGACCAGTACCACGTGCTGTCGTCCCTGCACAAATTGCGATTATTACTAAGGTGTGCAGGTTAGTTCACATAAAACTAAAATCTAAGTGAAATACGGAGGCCTTCCCAATTCCCAAGATGTCAGATTAAATATGAAACACCCTCTGATAAGAACACCTAGAAATGCCAGATAAATATAGCAAACATTTCCTTAAATGAGTGACTGAACTTGTAAGCAAGACGAGGAATGAGCCCTCGGGTAATGGAGACCACAGTGAGACAGCATTGCGCATCCACTAGGGAGGCAGGAGTCAAAAAGCCAAGTGATAACAAGCGTTGGTGCAGATGTGGGGACATCAGAACCCTCACGCACTGCTCGTGGGATGTAACCGGGTGCAGCTGCTGAGGAAGACAGCCCCTCTGGTAGCTTCTCAAGCGGTGAAACCGTGTGACCTAGCGAGTTCAATCCTAGGTATGTCCCCATGAGAAACGAAACATACTTCCATGTAGAACTTGTACATGAATATTCATAGCAGCATTATTCATCAGAGCCCAGAAGTAGAAATAACCCAAATGCCCATCAGTTGATGAATGGGTAAAAAATGGGGCGTATCCGTCCTGTGAAATATTTGGCCTTAAAGGGAATGAAGTACTCACATGCTGCAACTTGCATTATACTAAGGGGAAGAAGCCACTCAGGATGAACCACATATTGTATGCTTCACTTTATATGAAGTATCTGGAATATGCAAATCTATACAGAAAGAAAGTAGATGAGTGGTTGCCTAGGGCTGGGGGGAGGGAAAATGGGGGTGACTGCTAATGGGTTTCTTTTAGGGGTGATGAAAACATTCTGGAATTGAATATGGTGATGGATACACAACTCCATGAATATACTAAAAATCATCATACACTTTGAATTGCACTGTAAGTAAATTCTATCACAAAACTGTTAGAAAAGAAAGAAGAGGAACTCTCCAGGTCCCAGAAGGAAAGGGGAGGGGGAGGGGAAAAGAGAGGGGGGAATTGCCTTCAGGGAAGGCTGAAGCCTTCAGATATTGCTTAAATTTAGCTTTTATGTTTCAAAAAATCTTGCAATTATAGAGGGTCTTTAAAAAAATCAAATAATTCTATGTTTATAACCAAAACAAGAGCAAAATCCTCTTCCCCAACTATGCCCACTTCCGTTCCTGCTTCTCGGGTAACCGCTTATTTTTACCTTAGGCCTCGGCCTCCAGGTTTCTAGTGTCACCCGAGTTCACTGCGGTTGCTTCATTTTTCCCCTTTATGTATGGTCTGCCCGTGTCCCTCTATGGAGGAGGAATGATGGCTTTCATACACTCTCTACCTTTCACATTCCTTTGATTAGCTCCTTATTCAGTGTGTACATTATTATTGTGTAAGTATCCTTTTCAGCTGAGGCTTTTTATAAAGTTACTCTGGTTGTATTTCCTTTCTAGAACAACTTACTGTCTTCCCTGACGTTCATAAAGGAGGGAGTCCGCACTGCTCTACAGAGTTAAACATGGCTGCGTCCCTTTGCCTTCCAGATAGCCTGCAGATAGCTGTGCTGAATGCTAACCTGGCACCCCGGAGAGGGCAGTGTGGGAATCCTGGCTGGGAATTAGCAGAGATGGCCATACAGCCCCACCGCAGGGGCTAACGTGACTTTTTCCCCAGGCTGCTAGAAGTGTGAACTCAAACACATCAGCAAAATGATCCTTTTTATATTCTGTTGGAGCCTTCCATTCTCCTGCTCCAATTCAAATATATTAAACTTCACTTCAGATTACTGTTCTAGTATATCATGTTCTTGGGGGTGCTAATCCTGTATCTTTTTTTCTCTGTCTCTTTGCTCTTACTTGAGAATACCGTTTCTTGGTGTGTTGTAATTTTTTATTCTATTCAGTCAATTTTTCTGTGGGATTCCACAAGTGTTGCTCCTGAGCAGTTTTTTGGTTTGCTTCTTTCTGTCAGGTATCATAAGACTCCAGGCCAAATATGGTAATTTCTCAACTAGGGAATCCTGCACATAGGAAAAGATGCTTTTGGATCCCAAACACGTATGAGACTAGACCTAGGGTTTCAACATCCTGGGGATACATTTAAAAAAAAATTTTTTTTTTATTTTCTCAGGATAAATTTTTATTTTCCTCATGTGGAGTCCAGGCATCCTGGTCATCACCCTGAGTCCACAAGTGGATTTTTTTTTTTTTTTAATGGCTCAGTTTGATACTGGGAATCTCCGTTCCATGTCCTGCCTCACACAGACCCAAAATTTGATCATCCCTGTTCCAGTTATACTTGGCATACTGGTGCATATACTCATCCACTTCCCCTGGCCCCTGCTAAAATGATAAGGAAGTGGCATAAAAAGAAAGAAAGAGAAGAAAAGAGTGAGACAGTGGGAGAATGGGAGAGGAGTTGGCAGCAACAAAAATTTCAATGCTGGAAAATGGATGCATGAGTAATGGACTAGACAAAAGCTGAAATTTATGGTGGGTGTGTGAGAAACATAGAAGCCAGCCAGACAGTCCTGCAGACCCTCAGAAAGCTCCAGAATGAAGCATCAGTTTCCTCTGAAACAGGCGGACTGGTTGAATGTTTGTCCTCAGACACCCAGCCTCCTCTCTCCCCTGTGCTGCCCAGTGAAGCCTCTTCCCTCACCTTCACAAGGGAAGATGATGAGGAACTCTCCGGAAAGGTTGACGAGAGACACTCTGGGCTCACAGAGAGCAGGCATAGCTGGGAGAATGGGCAGGAAATACCAGGCCAAAAAAGGAGGCAGTAAGTAAGAGTAAGGGAGAAGACTACCTGTGGTTCACCTCCCAGCTCTGCTCTGAGCACAATGACAGCCAGTCCTATGAGTCCCTCCGGTGTTTGAAAGTCCCTCCCTGGGGCCTGCAGCCATCCCACGAGAAAGGACTTGCTGGTCCTGGAGTTTGGGGGCTCACACCAGCCACAGGTCACGCAGCAAAGCCCTGCAGCTGAGAGACTTGCTTGTGCACCCAGCACTTCCAGACACCTTTTAGTGCCCCGTGCTTACCTATGATTGGACAGAGATCACCACACACTTGAGGAAAGCCCACCATGGAAGACGGAGACAACACGCACGCACATATGCATGCACGCAAGGAAGCGTGCATAGTGAATCCAGAAAAAAACTGATTCATCCAGACAGTAGAAGAAATGAAAACAAAAAACTGGCATTAATCACCTTAGAGAAATAACGGTGACCAAACTGACAGCATTGGCACTACCAGAAAGGAATTCTCCCACCCTGTTGGTGAGGATGCAGACTGGGCCAACTCCTTCGGAGAGCGGTTTGGCAATACGTGGTTAGGACCCTCTGACCCAGCCCGTTTCACTTATTGAAATGCATGGACGGGGATTTTCCACAAGGAGATTGTAGACAGATGTCTTTTGAGGCACTGTTGGTAAATATTGAAAAAGAAGAAACAACAGTAGGGAAATAGATAATCATATATTTATAGAGTGGAATATTATATGCTTGTCAAATGAGTGAAATCTACTTACATAATATGGAAGTCTCAAAAATAAAATGTTGGCTAAAATCAAGTTGCAAAGGCTAGAAGTGTGAATGAGGATAATTAATAGTCATGAGGACTAACTTATAAAGCAACATGTAAAATAACTGATGGGCTATTATCCCCACTTTACACCCAAGTAAACTGAGGCACAGAGAGGCTAATTAGAGTGTCCAAGATTACACAGCTAGTAAGTAGTGAAGGGACGTACCCCTGCCTGGCAATGTTCACAGACTTCAGGCGGAAGAGCAGGATGACATAGGAACATGGGACTTTGTAACATTTTTTTCTTTGAGAGATCTGAAATAATTGTGGCCAGTCTGAGTGTCCGTTACATTATTTTAAAACCTTTTATATGTTCAAATATTTCACAACTTAACACGTTTTCATGACTAAGGAGACCAGAACCTTGCAAACACCCTGCTGCTGAGTGCCGAGGGGCACGGGGCTGACCCACAGAGCCGTTGATTCTGTGCATCAGTCTGTGTATTTTTCCCTGAGCTTCAGCAAAGGGAAAAAAGCTTTCCCGTATTGTTCTGCATGTGCTTTATCAGGAGAGTGTGTGATGTGAGTGGGAGGGGGTAGCACTGTAACCTCAGACAAAGGGACAGTGCTCGCGAGTCAGAGCCCTGCCAGAGAGAACTCAGTTCTCTAGCTGCTTATTAGGTCACTGGAGCTGTGCTTCCAGCTCAGCAAGAGTTTGGGATTTTGCCTAAACACATTTATAATACGGTTTTCTTAAGTAGGGCCTTTTGCTGGGAATTTTGGTGTTATTTTCTTCATCATTGCTGTCCTCTATGACTCCGAATTTATGTGTGTGTGTGTTTTAATGTCGCTCTTATATTGTGGAAAAAGAGAGTGAACCCTCTCATGTGGCATGTCTGAGGAAAAGACAGTTAAGAAATATTGTAATTAACAGTTACTCTTTTCCAAATGTACAATACCTTTCTCTTTTTTAAAGATTTTACTTCTTTACTTGCGAGAGAGAGAAGGCACGGGAGCACGAGCGGAGGAGGGAGAGGGACAACAGACTCCACGCTGAGCGCAGGGCAGGACCTGGGGGCTTGGGACTTGATTACAGGACCCTGAGATGAGAGCTGGAGCTGAAACCAAGAGTTGGACACTTAACCGACTGCGCTCTATTTTGGAAGAGTTAACAAAGTTGAATCTGGGAGTTTAGCGTTGGAAGGACACTTAGATATAGTTTAGTACACCTTGCCTATTTTAAACATGAAGAGATCGAGGCTCAAAAAGGTTGAAATGACTTGTGCAAGACTGTAGAGCTAGGGACAGACAGCGCTGGGAGTAGGAGAAAGGGCTCCCTACTCCCTGCGTGTATCACAGCATCGCAGAATACAAGAAAATATACTTTAGCAAACAAACAGAAACGTGTATGGAACATTATTTGTCATTGACTTACAGGATTCCTCAAAACTACTTCATAGGTATAAAACCCATTTACTGTGGAATGTCTATTTCTGATACGTAGTCAGAACACTAGCTCTAAAACTTTTACATTAACTAAAAGTAAGCTCTAGAGCTGAAATTGCTTGTGATAATATAGAGGTGTTGACACACCCGCTTGAGTGTAAACACAGATATTATGATTCTAGCTGACCTTTATTTTCAGTCAAAGGGAAAGCCCCTAACTTGATGCTGGAGAAGCAGTTCAGAAGGACAGGATCTCAGTTTTAAGTTCCTAGGCTTTCCTCCCAGTGGGTGGGGGTTGTTGGCAAGGAGAGTTGGAGCATTTCCTTCTGAGATGTTTGGGATGGTGGTTTTGTGTTTTCACAGTGGTCCTAAACGGAAGTGGTTGGGTGCTACAGAGTTGTAACTGGGCAGGTGCTGGGGTTCGTTACAAGAACTTTCCTCTGTAGCCCGCTCATTCATGGCCCACTGCCAATCTTTGCTGGAAGGGTAAATAGATCTTCTCTGCTGGTCCTTTACTGTGGTCCATGATTTTCATTAATATTGGAGTTTAAACCTTACAAACATAATACTTCTGAACAAGTGCAGCATCCCCTAGGACCAGAGAAGGTAGAAGAGCCTCATTTGAAGTGGTTCAGTAGAATCAATTTTAGTAAGTATGGACATATATCCTGACTTAGTTTCTTCCAGAAAATACAGCGATGAAGGGAATCGTGAACAAACTGCCTGCACGCATGAGCATATATAAAGTAAGAGATTGTCTTAAGTTTGCTTTCATCACATGATTTACCTTGCAGTGTGTGAACTGAAATCTCCCTCAATGAGTGACTTTCTGTGGGGACTGGAGAACTCGGGCTGGTTAAGGCACATCAAGGCCATCATGGATGCAGGGATCTTCATCGCGAAGGTATGGGTAAGGGCAGCGCTGCCAGCGAACTCTGACTTCAGACCAGAGAGGCTGTTTCCTCCCCATCTGCTGAGGCTGCCGCATAGTAAGCTGTGGCTCGCCCAGTGGGGAGCTGGCTTTGCCGACCACCGTGTTTGGCCTCTTAACATGTGACTGCTGCGAAAGAGAGGACAGTGCTCGTTGATAGGGTGGCGGCACAGCGGTAAACGGTAAAACATTTTCAGAGTATTCTCTCTTCGGGTAGGCCTGGCCCTAAATGGAGGAAAGAATTTTTTACTGGAGAGTACATACATCCAAATGTGTGACACTTCAGTAACCAAGGCCGGTCTTCCATCTTAGTAAACCGCAACTTCTTTGCCACGATGGCGTAAACAAGTCATGTTTCCAGACCTGGTAGGTAGGTTCCCTTCTGCCACGGGAACAACCTTGCTGTGACTTTCATGTAAGCAGGTTTTAGATGCATTATCTATTTTCTCAGTGTTTTTTGTTGGTTCTGTTTGTTTTTATAAATACCTCTCAGATTTATACCTAAAGACAACCATGTCTTTTCTGAGGATATGGTATGCTCCCCTTTATTAGATAATTCACTTATTTACCAAGTATTTATTTAGTGCAAGGCACTTTTGTAAGTGCAGAGCAGGCAATGCCAAATAAACCAGATCAAGTCTCTTCTCTCACAAGAGCTTGCATTCTGGTATGGGACACAGAAAGTGAATAAATAATAAATAGGATTTCTGGTAGTGAAAGTGCTATGTTGCAATCTCTACTATGTCTCCCAGTTTATGTTTCCTGCCAGAACACTCAGCTAAAAATTGTGTGCATTTGCAGTAGCAGACAGAAATTCTTTTGAGACTCCCTGCTATAATTTTTACCTTATTTTCTCTTCCTTCCCCTACCCCAGGATCCATTACTTGACGCCTATCCTTTTATCTCTAATTTCATAGTTTTACTACATATAATTTTTGTGTCTTTCCCTTTTTGGAAATGATTGAGACCAGTAGCAGCTGCAGAATTTCAATATTGGAAAGGTCTTACGAACCCCGACGGGAGGGTTGGAGGTGCTCAGAAGCGTAGCACGTATACGTAGTTGCAGTGCTCTGGGGTGGCTCCTGGGTATAATGGGAAGGAAAAGTTTTGGTTGCCAGCATCATATGACTCCTTGGCTCTACCCTAACTGGATGGGGCACGAAACACTCAATTAGCTGTTTTCGGTTATGTTTTTTTTAATTATTATTATTTTCTCCCCCTTTTCTTTCTATAGGTATAAAAACCAAACCTAGGTCTGAGGAGACGTTTTTCCTTTTTGTTAGCCATTCTTTCTGACTCTTTGCTGGTCCTGTGTTTGTTAGGCAGTTTCAGAGGAAGGGGCGAGCGTGCTTGTTCACTGCTCGGACGGCTGGGACAGGACTGCCCAAGCGTGCTCAGTGGCCGGCCTCCTGCTGGATCCGCATTACCGGACTCTGAGGGGCTTTATGGTGAGTGCGGCCGCCGGGCTTCTGCCCCACGCAGGGCCTTGAACAAAATGGACCTCCCTTTCGGCAACTGTTGGCAACTTGTTTTTCCCTCTCTCTGTTATTTTTCTCTTAGTAGATCAGCAAGATTAAAGGGGAAGAGGTAGAAAATGGTCTTGGAGTAAAGAAGTGAATTTCTGGGATATTGGAACCAATTCAAATTAGTGCTAATTATTAAATGTGAATTTGGGGGCAAATATAAAATATATTCAGTAGTCTGTAAAATAGTGAATTTTATACATTATTCGCTCATAAATCAAGTTTGAGGTAGCATGTGAACATGTGGTAGGAAACATTTTTCAGGAAAAAATATTTGGAGAAAAAATTTTCTGTCCTCTGCATGCAAAGTCCTTGAGAGGAAAAACTTTTTACTACTTTGATTTTTTTAGGTAGTCCTTCACAACTATAGCTGAGAGTACTGAAATTTCAGTGTTTCTGTGCTCTCTGTTGAAATTATGAGCACATCCCTTCCTAGATTTTCACCTTTTAGGTGTGCATCACAGTGCAACGTGTTCCTTCCACCTGCAGAATATTTGTGTAGTTACTGGGATGGTGAAGTTCTGGCCAAGCTGGAGCCCTGTTCCTAACATGACTGGAGGGGCTTCCTAAGTGGTTCCTGGTTCTTGCCTCTGGCACCATGATTTGGTAGAAAGTGCTTCAGTGGATCCTGCATCCATGCTAGGGATAGATGCTGACAGAGGAGCCTGAATGGGCTATCTCTACTGCTCGATCGCCTTCACCGAGAAAGATCAGCTGACACTCTGGGTACAAGAGAGGAGAGGCAGAGGCAGGTTTCCTTTATGGGCTTTTTCTTTTTCTCCTTTTTTGGAAAGTGTCAGAGAACTTCCAATTCCCCGTGATAGCATTGAGACATCAGAGTGATCCTCCAGCTTCAGACCCCTCCCCTGGACTGAGGTTAGGGTTCCTTCCTTTCCATTTGGAGACTGGAGGGTTTCTGGCTCACACATTCCTTCATACCATCCTCTACCACCATGGATTCTTTTTGATTCTGCCCCATTAAATTTACGTGTTGTCAAGGGCAAACTTCAACCACTCCATATTTTTTAAGGGAAATCTCTGGCCATTTTAGAGCACTGGTGATAGCGATGGGATCGGTCTGTATTACTTGATTCTTTTTAAAATCCAGATAATTTGAGATTGTAAACTTATGTTACCCCAACTCCAAAGCAGGGCTGAAACTCCTCTATCATGTCCCCAACACCTGTCATTTTAGGATTTTTCTAATGTGTAGTAAAGATCACAGGAATATACTCCTAATTGTTCTTGTAAGAAGGTTGGTATTTGATATTACCCTGAGACCTGTTGGTTAAGAGATGGGCTTTGGTGTAGAAAGAACTAGGTTATGAGGTAGCATCAACCACTTCTTAGTAGCGTGATCTTAGACGTATTTAACCTCTTTTTCAGTTTCCCCTTCTGCAAAATGAGTGATCATACTTGTCCCACAGTGAAATGAGATTATATATGAAGCACTATGAACAGTGTTTCTAGAAAACACTCAGTGGGTGCTGCTATTACGTTTTCAAATATCCATTCCCACTTATTTTTCCTGTGGATGACCTTCAGCTTGCCCTTCTGCTACCCATCTGTGTTGGTGGACAATGAGTGTGCATTCATCTGCACTACCTGAGGATAGTGACTTCTCCAAGATCCTTTGAATCCTTCAACATTGTTGGTTGGGGTCTCTTATTTTTCCTTGTTTTCTTCTCTCCATGATATTTATATTCTTTTTCGTATAGGTATTAATTGAAAAGGACTGGATTTCCTTTGGTCATAAGTTTAATCACAGGTAAAAAAAATACTTAAAAATCTGTTGTTTTGAATGTGTAGGACAAAAAAAACTCTGTTTCTGAAGTTTTCAATTTAGTGGGGAAAATAGCCTTATTTTGTGTATCTTATTCAAAAAGTTAAAGTTTTGTTGTATACATTGTATCATGAAGTTCTACCATCTAGTGGCAGCAGTATCTCTGAGATAGAGGATAATGGACAGAAAGAATGTGGAAATGGACAAAGACTAGCTATATAATTGTTTCACGAGGAAACCCTTTTTAAAGCTACCAAGTTGAGTGGAACTGAAACTTCTGAGAAGAAGTTCTTGGAAGAACTCTAAACTGATCTTTACTCATTTCTATTCCTAAAGTTGGTCATCCATTGCTGAGCAGATGAGGTTCTATATTGTTATTTTGAATTTGATGGCACCCAAATAACCCTTTTGGATTCTAAAATTCACATGATAGTGTAAAGGACTAGGCAGTCTTCATTTAAAAATCAATACAAGGGGTGCCTGGGTTGCTCAGTCAGTCGAGCATCTGATTCTTGATCTTGGCTTGGGTCTTGATCTCAGGGTTGTGAGTTCAAGCCCATGTTGGGCTTCATGCTGGGCATGGAACCTACTTAAAAAAATCAATACAAATGTGAGGGAGAAGCTTCTGATGTACTCTTGAAAAACAAAGATGGGAGATATAAAGGTATGGGAGTCTGGGAGTATGGGAATTGTCACATGGAAAATAAATTATGGGACAGGTTTTAACATTGCTCTAAAAATATCCTGAGAAACTTAGGAAACCACATTTTTTTTCAAGTTGTCTTTCTTCCTCTTCCCTTCCAACAAAACAGTGCAAAAGCGAAAAACTCTTAACACTCCCACAAATTGCTAATTAAATAAAGTGGAAGATTTATTTCAAAAGTCCTGAAGTACTTTTGGGAAACTTGAATTAAAGAATGCTCTATTAAAAAAGCGGAAGATTTACTTCAAAAGTCGCGAATGTACTTTTACAACTTGAATTAAAGAATGCTCTTAAAAAAAAAGAATGTTCTTTTGCCATGGCAAGTTTCCTTGAATTTTCTCTCTTGCACTGATGCTTTCTTTTGTAACTGTACGTCCCTTTTCTAGCCAGACCTTCAGTACAGTTTCTCTTGAAAGTGGAATTTAAGAAGTTAATTTTTTCCACTTCTGCACCCCAGGTTTATAAGGTTTGTCTAGAAATTAGGTCTTCTTGTATGTAAACTAGGGCTTTTGCATTTATAGCTTTGTAAATAAAAAACCTCAACTTCCTATAAAGTCTCTTAATATTTTGTTGTATAGATATGGCAATCTAGATGGTGATCCAAAAGAAATCTCTCCAGTTATTGATCAGTTCATTGAGTGTGTCTGGCAGCTAATGGAACAATTTCCCTGTGCCTTTGAGTTCAATGAGAGATTTCTGATTCACATTCAACATCACATTTATTCCTGCCAGTTTGGAAACTTCTTATGTAATAGCCAAAAGGAGCGACAAGAGCTCAAGTAAGTGTTTTCCTGTTTAATTTTTATCTAAGGATTTTGTGATTGAGAATTTCAGATGACATTTTAAAATTCTGGAGACTATTTTAGCCACGTAGCGATACTGGCAGATGAAAGTTATTTTCTTTTTCCTGACATCACTTCATAAACGGTTTAATGTCAGTGACAAAGATAGACACAAGCTCATTTGCCCCACTGACATCCACAGACAGGGTGGCAGACTTGATGCACTCACATTGAAAGGAAACTTCCTGGAGTCAGAGGAAGCAATTTTTGTACTTAAAAGGAAAAAGTTAGACATCTTCAGTGGATATACTCTCCGAGTAAGAACTGCAAATCTAACTGGGAAAGCAAATTCGAAACTCCAGTCATTCTTTTACTCAGATTAAAACTGTGTTGTTTTTAACCAGGAGGAAAGTCAGTGAAATGTAGAATTTAAAATAAATTGCTAAGTCAAAAACTGAACAGCAAAGTGCTTTATGAATTGCAATGAGAGAACAGTTTTGAAATGTTCATAAAATGATTTTAACTCTGGTGTATATGATACCAGATTTAATTCTGGAAATGATCAGTTCAAGTAAAATGGACTTTACTGGTTTTATATAGTCTGAACAGAAAGAAAATGGCTTTTTCAGGTGCATACTAGTTTGTTTTCTCTCACGAACTTCAAGTGTGATTCCTGCTAAATGGTAAATGATGAAAAGCAGCAGAGTGCTTCCTTCAAGCTCACCTCTTTTCCTAGACAGTTTTGTGCTTTGCTGTGACAGACCCATCACTTTAATGGTGTCTGCTTGCCTTTGAATCCTGGCTATTCCACTCACTATGTGTCTTTGTGACTATGTGACTTTGAGAGAAACTGCTCAATCTCTCTTAGCCTCGGTTTCCTCACCTGTACAATGGACAGATCTCGTAGGAGTTCAGTGAGGGCTGGATCAGAGAAAACAGGTGAAGCATTTAAATACTACCTAGCAAATAATAAAATTTCAGTGATTATTTGGGGAAAAATTTCCCCCAAATTACATAAAGTTTTGTTTTACACTCAGAGGAATTAAACATCTTGTCCAGGCCAGTTCAGATGGCAGAGAAGTTGAGACTCTTACAGTGCCCTTCTGCTAGATCACGAGGACACACAGACTGTAAATTTCCCTGCTACAGAACAGGGACATGGGATATTCATCTAACAATTATTGGTCCCTTTCCAGTTTTAATATTACATATCTACAATTGCTAAGAACCAAGATGGGTCATTTTCAGGCTTCTTTTCTTTATAACAGAATTCAAGAAAGAACATACTCTTTATGGGCTCACCTGTGGAAGAATCGGGCTGACTATATGAATCCTCTATTTAGAGCTGATCACAGTCAGACCTGGGGAACACTTTGTCTCCCCTCAACGCCATTCAACTTCATGTACAAGTATGTAAACCTCTAGGACCTTACTCAGTATGCTTATGAACCTAGATTCTGCCACTGTTTATCTGGAGGCCAAAGCAGATGAACACTGAGCCTTAAGGCTTTTTTTTTGGATGTAAAACACACTAAAAGAGGATGCTTTAAATACCTGATCTGGTATTTTTGCCAGTGTCCCCTCTCCCCTTCCTTCCCCCTACATATGGAATTCTTAAGAAGTCAGTGTTTTATAATAATGATCTTTAAAAATGTAAGTTCCAGTATTATTAGAACCAAAAAACAGAGAGGGAGGGAAGAAGAAAGGAAGGAAGCAAGAAAGGATAGAGGAAAGGATGGACCAGGTAAACCAAGTGTCTTGTAAGTTAAATGTGGAATCACAAGTTTAGGTAGTGATCATGACTTAGCTTACCTTCTTTTTCTGCTGAAACTCTGCCTAGTGGAACTATTTCCCTGTGGAAATAAATTATTTTTAAGACTGTATATATATTGGGATGGGGAGAGCAGGGTGGCATCCTACAGATTCTATTAGAGATGTAGGTTATATTTTATCCTTTGGCTTCTCTATGTGGAAGTTGTATGATGTGAAGGATGTCTCAGAGGTCAGCAAAAAGACAAACTTACACAGAACAAACTGAGAAACCACATTCTTTCTCCCTATGCACCCCCGAAAACATACTTAGTGCTTAGTGGCTTCCTCTATAGTTTTTTTTTTTCCCCTCATCAATTTGCTTTTGTTCTTAATTATTTCTATCTAATTATTTGCCCAGAATTTTAAAGACTACTGTCACACTGGAAAAAAAAAAAAAAGCCATAAAACAGCAGTTTTGAGAGCTGTTGAGATACAATGCAATCAATTGTATTGCTCCTAATTTGTTAGTAATAGCCAGTCAACAAATATGTTATAGAGGGTCCAGCACTATTCTAGGCACTATGGATAAAACAATGAATGATACTAAAACCCTGCCCTCAAAGTACTTTTCTAAGTAAAGCATAGATCTACAGACATCCCTGTGATAATACTATTTATTCTTTGCAATCCAGTATGCTTTATTGTGTAGGATAAAAGAAGAAAGATTTATTGCAAACGGAAATGTCAATTTTTGGTGGTTGTGATTAAAAAAAAAAAAAGACAAGCCAAAACCCTCAAATCTGCAACTGAGAGATTCTAAATGTTAATATAATCACTAATTTTCCAAGTTTACTTCAAAACTAAGAGCCATTTTCTTAAAAAGAAAAAAATATGGTAATATGGCTACTTCGGTCTACTTTAGAAAGATACAGGCCTTCTTATTTCAGGACCATATGTACAAGTAGACTCACCATGAATTTATCCTCCTGAAAGAACTTTACTGACCCAAGAAAAAGAGAACATCAACATGAAATCATTACCTTAAGTAAGTGTCGTCTTTGAGCCCGTAATTCGTGATCATTAGGACTTTAGGACTCCGGCATTATAGATACCTTAGAAGACTTGAGGGAGTGAATTTACAGACTGCTATGGCAGTATCCTAAAGCTCTGCCATCTTTTGCAGGTTTTGGAATGGGATGTACAATCGCTTTGAAAAGGGACTGCAGCCCCGACAGTCTGTTACGGATTACCTTATGGCAGTGAAGGAGGAGACCCAGCAGCTGCAGGAAGAACTAGAGGCCCTGGAAGAAGTAAGACACGCTCGTTCTTATTCGTCTCTTTTTGATGCTTATTTCTTGACAACCACTGTTCCATGAACACCTCTTATGACTCAGGATATGTGAACGCAGCAACATAGCCATTTCATATTTTTAGCTAAGTGGATAACCTGAAACAGAACCCCACCTAGATATCTGGCTCGGGGCTCACTCACATGGTTTGCTGAACTTGTTGGTTATTCCTATAATAGGTCAGGTTTTATTTATTACTGTTATTTGAGAGAACTAAAATTCTTTCTGAAAGGTACATTAAAAAATGGGATTCAGAGTGAAAGAACAAAATCAGATATATGCACATGTGGTAAAATTTTCTCTACTTTTTAGAATATTATTATTACATTAGCCTATGAATGGTAATAGCTGAGACCAACTTAGCAACAGCCTAATTTTTGGCTTTTATAATTTCCCAGTAATTGGCCAGGAAGGTTATAATATACATATTTTTGCTAATTATATAACTTTGTTTCCAGTGATACCATGGTTTAGTTACTCACTAAAACCACTTGGATTCTTTGCTTCATTCTGCTTCACTCATCTTAAAACTCCATGGCATCATCAGGTCATTCACTTGCTCAAGAACTGGCAACCAATTCCTGTGGTCTGGACCAGAATTCTGAATTGAGACTAAATATTAAAATAAGATGAAAGGCCTTTTCTCCCCGCTCCTAAGATCATATGTGGTGTAGATTGGTAATGTCTAATGAAATGAAAGTTGACGAAATTATCACAAGACGAGTTCCAACAAAGTCTACTCCTTTACTAATGGATAGTCACCCCTGAGAATGATGGCCTGGGGGACATGCACTATGGTTCAGGGACCCCACCAATATAGATAGTCATGTAGAGGTAGCTGGTGAGGCTGACTTCTCTGGTTGTTCCCATAACATTACCAGGAAACATCACCTTTCAAGATAGAAGTACCACAGAAGAACTTAGGTCTAGGGTTGCACACTCAAGTCCATACAGGAGCCAGATGGATGAAACAAATTCTGTCACTAGTAAACTGTTGGTTTTGAGAATTTTTGAAATCAAGCATAAATCTTAATCTATTATAAATCTGCAAGGGTGAAACAAACCATCTTTGATCCTGTATGGAGAGCTCGACCTTAAGTTTACATGACTGGAGAAATAGTTTTTGTGCATCAAAATCACCTCACAAAAAATCCTACTACCAGGGCTCTAAGCCCAGAGATTCTGATGGAGAATCTTTCGAGCTCCACAATGATTGTGAATTTCCTCCAGGGCTGACAGACCTTGAACACAGAGACAACTGAAATGAAGCAAAGGTTAGGTTTTTAGGATTCCAGAGCTCTGGTGTAAAAGCCTCTATGATTTTTGCCATTTTTAAGTCCACTCACAACATCAGTAGGCCAGTTTTATTTCCTCTTCCTAAAGGTACCCAAGCTTTATGAAAAGCTTAGGATTCTCCTGGTCTGTTCCAATATTCTTTTTGTTAAAATACTAAAAATGAAAAAAAAAATTTACTTAGAAAAACCTTAATTAAAAGACATTGGCTCTTTTTCCTTTATAACAAAGTCAGAACCCCTTAGTCTGGCATTTAAATTTTCCCATAATTCAGTAATCAGTCCTTTCAGCTTTATTCTCTACTATTGTCCTTGCTCAAATTTAAAAATTTTTTATTTAACTAACATATAATGTATTATTTGTTTCAGGGGTACAGGTCTGTGATTCTGGGTCTTATATACTACCTAGTGCTCATTACAATACATACCCTCCCCACTGTCCATCACCCCCTGACCCCTTCCCCTCCAGCAACCCTCAGTTTGTTTCCTAAGATTGAGTCTCTTAAGGTTTATCTCCCTCTCTGGTTTTGTCTTACTTTGTTTTTTCCTTTCTTCCCCTATGATGCTCTGCCTTGTTTCTTAAATTCCACATATGAGTGAGATCATATGATAATTGTCTCTCTCTGATTGACTTATTTTGCTTAGCAAAATACCTTCTAGTTCCATCCATGTTGTTGCCCTTGCTCAAATTTAACTGTTCTCTGCTTCTTGTACACAATGACCTCTTCCTACTTTTGTGTTTTTCTTCTCACTGTCCCTCCTGCCATAAATGCTCTAACCATCACCAGCACCCCCCCCAGTTTAATTCCTTCACAGTCCTGTTAAAATGCTCCTTCATTCCTGAAGCTTATTCAGATCTCTTCCCTCTAGCCATCCCACCTGCCCTCTTAAATTATTTTGACCTCTTCCAAATTCTTACATTACCTGAATTCTGCCTCCATACTCCAAGTTCCTTATGGCTGGATCTGTATTTATCTCTGTTACTTATATTGCCCAGTACAATGCTCTTTGCACACAACAACTTAGGGTGAATGCTTTTGAAATGATTAGGTAATACTTGATCTTTTAACACCTCCCTTGCTGATGCCAAAGGATGAAATCTGGTAAAATGTATTTTGAACAACCCAAATGTCCATCATCTGATGAAGAGATAAATAAAATATGGATATTCATGCAATGTAGTATTATTTAGTCATAAAAAGGAATGAAGTATTGATACATGCTACATTGTGGATGAACCCCAAGAACATAAACTAAGGGAAAAGAAGCCAGACATGAAAAAACACATGGTTTATGATTCCATTTATAGGAAATGTTCAGACTAGGCAAATCCATAGAGCTAGAAAGTAACTTAGTGGTTGCCAGGGCTGTCGGAAGGGGGAATGGGGAGTAACTACTAATGGATATGGGGTTTTCTTTGGGGATGAAAATATTTTGGAATTAGGTAGTAGTTAATTGTTGTGTAACCTTGTGACTATACTAAAACCAACGAATTGTATATTTGGGGGGGGGGCAGTTTATGGTAATTGACTTATATCTTAATTTATAAACTTAGATAATAAACACCTCATTCCTGATGTTAAAAAAAAATGTATTTTGAGTTCACAGGATGAAAATCATTATGTAAAACCTTACAGGTATAGAAAGAAGGATGACTCCTGATTGCCAGGTGCTTTACATAGTTTTTTTTGTTTTTTGCTTGTTTTTTGTGCATTTTACAGAAAATCTATATACTAAGGCAGGTATTACCTTCCTTAATTAGAGATGAAGAAACCAAGTCTCGGAGAATCTAACTGTTTTGTCCAAGGTCATAAAATCTAGCTTTGAACCCATGTCCACTTAAATCCCATGTTCTTAACATTATACTCAGCTGGAAAGTAATAAATGCTAAATTATTTATGTTTCCGGTTTTTTTTAGAGGCTGGAAAAAATTCAAAAAGTCCAGTTGAATCACACTAAAGTGAAGAGTAAGCAGAGTGAGCCCAGCAAACACTCAGGGTTTTCCACCTCAGACAACAGCACAGCCAACACTCCTCAGGATTACAGTGGAAATACGAAATCATTTCCATCCAGGAGCCCTTCCCAAGGTGATGAGGATTCTGCTCTCATTCTACCCCAAGACAATTTGAAAAGCTCAGATCCAGATCTGTCGGCCAACAGTGATCAGGAGTCTGGGGTGGAGGATTTGAGCTGCCGGTCCCCAAGTGGTGGGGAGTGTGCACCCAGTGAAGACAGTGGCAAGGACCGTGACTCGGATGAAGCGGTGTCTCTCACCGCCTGAAGTTCCCCTGTGCGGATCCAAAATAAAGGACACACAAGAAACGCTTTCCAAAAATAAGGGAGCAGTGCAATTTAAAATAAAAAGTAATTCAAGAAATGGCACGTGTCATTGAGAATTGTAAAATGTAGCAATGAAAAGGGAAAGAACAGCCCAACTCTTAGTTTCTTCAGCTGTTGAAGAACAGGAAGTAGCCATTTCTTTTATCAAACATATATAAACGGAAAATTCCCCATTTTAAATGTTGTTCTAGACTCTGAAAGTTTTGTTCACTACGTAGTGCTGACCTCTTCCATCACCTGAGTTATCATTGCAAATCTTCCTTGTCATAGCATGCATCTGCTCAAAAGGTGCCCCGACTCCTTCTCCCCTCAAACCTGTTATCTTCAGTCTTTCCCTGTATTTCACTTCCAGATACATATTTTGTTTTCTAGAATATCTGACATTGCCTTCCATCCTGTTACCAGTATTTCTAGTGACAGAGTACACTGTGGAAACGCACCCCTTTTGGTTGGCAGATGTGTCTCTAACTGAGGAGCTTTGTAATTGCTTGAGCTTATCTTTCAGGTTTAATGATCACTTTAACTTTTCCTTAAATAATATATTTTGAATTGTTATTATAATCTTGTTTCCTTTTTCTGGAATCTCATCATTTAAAAAACGCTGAAACATTATAATTCACTTCTTCTCTAACACGGGTCTAATACCTAATAAAATAGAAGCAACATTTACTCTTTGGTTCTTAAAATATGAATTCAGATCATATTAAATATAACAGTTTAAATTATAAATGTTATAAAACATAGCATTTTAAAATAACCTTTTATTACTATTCCAGAGATTGCATTACCACGACAGTGTGGGCCAACCACCAGCCTGATGCATTTAGTATAACAAAGTTAGCAGTGTAACATTTTGATAAGAACACCAGTTAAAAACTAGAGAATTTGGTTGTCCTGTCTATTTAACAATAGAATAAGTTTTATCACCTATTGTTTTAGAAACTGTGTAACTGGTTAATATGACTTAACATTAGTAACCACTGACTGCTGAAAGTTCTGAAAAGAGTTTGATTATAAACTTTTGATCTGAAGAAACTTAGTGGAGAAAGTTTAGACAGAGATAAATAACATTTACAACTGCATGGTTTTTAATTATCATTACATTCTAGAATGTAAAGGGCCCACTTTTATAATCAAATGAGGGGAGGGTGGGGGAGAGAGAGAATCTCAGGCAGACTCCCTGCTGCTCACGGAGCCTGACATGGGGCCCAATCTCACAACCCTGAGACTATGACCTGTGCCGAAATCAAGAGTCATATGCTAAACTGACTAAGCCACCCAGGCACCCCTACATCAGTATTTTGAATAGGTTAAATTTGTTAAATAAGGTATTAAATTTTGCTGAAATGGGAATAAGGTAAGAGAGGGAAGAGGAATAACATCACCAACATGGTGACAGAGGTTGTTTCTGACTTTGCCCCCCTTCACAAGAAGACTAACAACTGTTCATGGACAAGATACCACTGAGAGGATCCTAGAGCGCTCAGGAGTGAGGCTAAGGCCCCCCCCCAACACAAGAGAGACCAAGACAGACTGCATTAGAAGGGTAAGAGGGACAGCTACATGCTGACCACATTGCCCCTCCTCCAGGCTGGCTCAGTACTACATGGAGAGATTCCCCCTTGAGCCTACGGTTCCTCTAGGGGGAGAGCCCATGGGTGACATCCAGCCTCCCACCCACCCAATGTTGTGGGTTGCTTAGCTGGAGCCCCTCAGGTTTCACTCCACAAGGACTAACGGGAAAGCCATGGGGCTCAACCACTAGGAGCCTGTGACAAGAGAAGAGGAGAGGGGCTTCCAACAACCAACACTTGGGAGTTGGAAGACAGTTCCTGTGAGCACAGCCTAAGTAATAGTCCCAACCAGTGGTTTTGTTCATCTGCAAACCAGGTCAGTGGCACAATCTGGGGAACTCGGCAGGGTTCAGGCCTGCCAAATGTGGGTCCCCAAAGAAGGAGTTCTGCTGGCCCTGGTGCCTGGTCTTCTCATGCCTTGGCAGAAGAGCTGAGCCACAGCTACCCTCCTGATCAGAACATCTATTCAGGAAAGTTCGGAGTTGCCTAAAGTGGGCTCTTGCCCACACAGTAACCAGAGACCTAGCCATCTCCAGCCCCCACATCTACAAAGCATGGCCTCCTGCTCCATCTGACAGGAAGGGCTGACAAAAACACCTGGAAGCTGTGTGATCCAGCAACTCTTAAGCCAAGAAATAGGTGGGCAGAACTGATAGCACCAAAAAACAGTGGTCTTGTTTGGCCAGGGAACTTGAGGCATGGGTTGGCTTGAGTCAAGACCACAAAGCATTAATGGCCTTTGAGCTGCTTCTCCTGCTGCACCCGACCAGGGAAACTAGTTCACAGCCCCACTTACTGCTGAACACAACCTTCAACCCACCCACACAGGGAACCTAACCAGAGCACACAGGAAACTGCATAGCCCACCCAACATCCCCATTCACAGGGCACTTGAATAGAGCACAGCACATGGCTTTCCATGTCTGTAGAGCAAAACCAGTGGTCTCATCTGACCAGGATATTCAGTGCAACTCTTGCCGAATCAGGTCCCCAGACAACCTATGCAGGCCCTGGGTTCCATCCTACTGCCCTGCTAGGGCAGAGAGGATAATTCACAGCCCCAACAAAGGCTAAATATAATACCCAGTCCCAACCTTCTAGCAAGCCTAACCAGAGAATCCAGGAAATCACAAAGACCATCCCACAGTCTGACTTGAGTAGGGAACCAAGCCAGCAGTGCTATCCAGCTATTCTCAGTCCCTGACATACCTCTGAACTCAGAGCATGAATAGCTGCCTTGCCCAAAAATAGACTCTAATAGGAGGCCCCACCTACCCAAGGATGTTATCAGCAGACATGTCCAGAAACCCAGACTGAGCTGACTGGTAAGAAATGTCTCTGCCAAATCAAACATGCTAAGTCTGGAAGAGGAGACCCCTTACTCAAATGCAACCTAGGGAATCAAAGATCTTGTGAAAAATCAGGTAAGTACGATACCACCAAAGGAAACAGATGAAGCTCTACTAACTGACCCAAAAGAAATGGAGATCTGTGAGCTGTCAGATAAAGAATTGAGAATAATTCTCATAAAGAAGTTTAGTGAACTGTAAGAACACTCAGACAGCTAAACAAAATTAGGAAAACAATACATGACCAAGAAGTTCAACAGAGAAATAGAAATCATCAAACACACTCCAAATCCTAGAGCTAAAAAATATAGTAACTGAATCAAAAAATTCAATAAAGAGTTTCAAAAACAGACTCAACCATGCAGAAGAACAAAGCAATGAACTGGAAGAAAAACAATTGAAATTATTCAGTCAGAGGAGCAAAAAGAAAAAAAATGAAAACAAAGTGAAGAGGGGCTACAGGAAGTATAGGACACAATGAAAACAAATAATATTTGCATTATGGGAATACCAGGAGAAAAAGAAATGGATAGAAAGTATATTTAGAGCAATAATGGCTGAAAACTTCCCAAACCTGGGTAGAGAAATAGATACCCAGATCCAGGAGGCCCTAAGGACCCAAACAGGTTGAACTCAAATAGGGCTAAATCAAGACACTTTACAATTAAATGCCAACAAAGACAAAGACTTTTGAAAGCAGCAAGAGAAAAGAGAGATTACAAAAAAGGGAACCCCAAATAAGGCTAAAGGTGGACCTCTCAACAGAAATTTTTCAGGTCTGAAAACAATGGGATGACATATTCAAAATAAGAAAAACCCAAAGTTTCAATCAAGAATTCTATACCCACTGAAGCTGTCCTTCAGAAATAAAGGAGGGATAGACTTTGCCAGATAGACAAAGGCTGAGTGATTTCATTACCACTAAACCTGTCTTACAAGAGATTCTATAGGGAGCTCTTTGAGTGAAAATATAAGATCACTAGTTAATAGCATAGAAACATAAGAAGGCAGTGTAAAACTCACTGGTAATGATAAATAGTAAAAAAATGGATTCTGTAATAGGGTAATGGTGGTGTGTAAGTCACTTAAGACTCTAGTTTGAAATTTAAAGACAAACAGTAAAAGTAACCATATCTTTAATAATCTGATATTAACTACACAATAAGAAAAATGTAAATTGCAACATTAATTAACTAAAATGTGAGGATGTGAGAAGTGTAAAGCTTAGGAATTCAATTAAAGCTGCTATTAGTTAAAAATAGGATGTTAAATTTTAAGATATTTTATGTAAGCCTCATGGTAACACAGGGAAAAACTTTAGTAATTATACAAAAGATGACAAAGAAGTCAAAGTATACTGATAATGACAAGACATCAAACCACAAAGACAAAAGAATAAGAAACAAGGAACAAATGGATCTACAAAACAAACACAAAACAACAAAATGGCAATAGTAAATCCTTATCCATAATTACCTTAAATGTCAATAGATTAAATTTTCCAAAGACACAGAAAGGCTATGTGGATTAAAATAACAAGACTCAAATGGTAATCTACAAGAGACCCATTTCAGACTTAAAGGTAGACTGAAAGTGAAGAAAGACATTTCAAGCAATTGGTAACCAAAAAAAAAAAACCCAAACCAACAACAACAATAAAAAAACCAGGGGTAGCTATACTTATATCAGACAAAATAGACTTTAAGAACTGTAAAAAGTGGGTACCTGGGTGGCTCAGTCAGTTAAGCGTCTGCCTTCAGCTCAGGTCATGATCCCAGGGGCCCAGGATCAAGCCCCATGTCTGGCTCCCTGCTCAGCAGGGAGTCTGCTTCTCTCTCTGCCTCTGCCCCTTCCCTTGCTCGTTATCTCTCTCTCAAATAAAATCTTTAAAAAATTGTAAAAAGAGACAAAGAAGGTCATTATATAAAAGATAAGGGGGTGAATACATCAAGATGATGTAACAATTATAAATATTTATGCACCCAATGTTACAGTCAGAGCACATAAAGACATAGAGC